ACAGATTTGCAACCAGCTGGCACTGATCAGATGTTGTTCCGCAAGTGATGCTACCATGTTTTAACTTTTCACCCCCTATTTATTTCTTTTTAGCGCAAGTGCGATATATGTGTGATCCTTGGGTTGGGGTGGGAAAATATGCTCGTCATACATGTATGACGCTGGTGGCAGAGGTGTTAGTGACGAGCAGGAGCATTACGTAGTTGAGTCGCCTTTTAAGGGAGTCTGAACCTGGCACATTATCCTCCACCACCCAATCCTATTAACATAAGAGCCAACAAAACGTCCTTTTGAGAGATGCTACCCTCCAACGAGGCCTAAGATGACGGGCTTAAAGTATGCGAGCAAGAAACTCGTAACTGAAGCTAAATTTACACAAGCAATCCACTTCAACGTGTTTAACCGCCAAAACACTGGGTAAAACGTTTGCACCAAACTAACTTGGCATAAACTTACACACCACACACACACTGCTACGATAACTGGCACAAATTTGTGGAAATGGTTTACTGGTGCGCAAGCTGGAGCCTGTGCATTTAAGCACCCGCCAGCCAGTGGGACCCGACGAGTTGCATTCTCGTTCACACCGCGCCAAAAATCGATACCGGCAGCTACCCGTCCGCCCGTCATCCATCGCGCCCGCCTCAGAGGAATGGGTAATTATCGCGCTAGAGCTGGGTCGTTATCCCAAGGGATATGCCTAGAGTAGAGAAAAGGAAATTTTTGTTAACATTCGCCTAAACTCCCTCGTCCTCCTCTTAACCCCGCGTCCTCGCAATGCATGCCTACGCTCTCTGAAAGCGTTTACCCAATTGATGATGGTGATGATGATGCTGGGAACGATGCGAATGACGATGGCGATGATGAGGTTGCTTTTCTGGCATGACTGCGACATTTGCAAAGGAGAGAAAAAAATATCATGGCCTTCCTCTAGTCAGCGTCACACATACAAACACACAATCGCGAACGCGTGCGAACCACGCGTTGTTGGGTGCGTGCCACTAGGCTGCGTAAGCTCCCTTGGCGTTGCGCACACGTGCATCGTCGACGATGGATCGATGCGTCCGACCAATGGAATACCAGTTGGCGTTCGCTCAACATCTGCTTATACACACGCACCCGTGCACGCACGTACGCACATGCACGTGCGCGCGTTGGTAGTAGCAGCGGCAGCGGCAGGAGCGATAGTAGGTGTCGGCTGCTACACCCTGTGGATATAGCCGCGGGGCCGTATTTTTCAATGCACTTCGCCTCTCCTAATTCTGAAAAGGCCTAATTTGGCCAACAGCAGCAAGAACAAGAAAGGAGTGAGGGGACCTAGCGTCCACCATTCAGGTCTTGTTTGTGACCGAGGTAGGGTAGCAAGCTTGCCACACTGCTAGCTAAGTTCGCTTCTTTTGAACCACACACACACACATGCAGGTGAACAGTGCGCTTACGGTAAGGAGACACGTAGGGGCAACAAACGAGCTGTGTGGACATACGACTATGCTTATTGTTAACTGTAAAGCAGAGGCGGTAAGGCGCAACCCATAGACTGCCGTGACTTTATATAAGGTCGCTACGATCATTGTCATAATCAAAAATTATCACGTGACTCCAGAGTCCCCTTCTACTTCCCTTAGTATGTCTGTGAGCTCCACTTTGTCAAGCGGATGGCCAGGAAAGACTAGAAACAATAAATTTACCATACTCCCAAAATGCGAGATTCGGTGAAGGTAGAAGTAAAATTCGATACACAATGCCCTTTTTTAAAATAGCAAATGACATTCTCAGTTCATTCACCAAATTCCCACTGTTGATCGCCCTGGTTATAGAATAGCAGATAGCGCAAAAACACAGAACCAGCCCTGTTACTTCGACCGGATTTTTAGGCGGATTACCCACATCATCCCTAGACCAACCATTTTTATGTTCCTTCATCATTTTGGTGATGGTTAGAAGTGCCTGTTCGGTGGTCTTCACACCAAATGCATCCATGCGCGCACGCATTCACATTTGCGTGACTGTTCCGACTTAAACCATCACCATGTGAAAGGAGGAAGACCAGGCTCTTCAACTGTCACCTCTGGTTCTGTCGAGGGAGCGTTAAATTTCACCGATGGGATTTTTGAGTGTGACTTCACGCAAACCCTCTTGTGTATGAGTCACAACCTGTTGTCCCTTCTCGTTGGTGGGGGTGGGTAGCACAAACTCACGCACGCCAACCGTTCGTAGTGCATGCCTCACGCTCACCACCATCGAAACCGTCGTCCTGATTGGTAGGATTAGGAAACGCACCGCAAGTATCGACCATCATCCAGCTCACGCCGTCAAACCGGCTGACAAGATGGATACAATCACAAAAACGTTAAGGCCCAGCTGTTTAGCCTTACATGAATACATGAAGCCTGTCAATTCACACTAGACGAATCCAAGGCTGAGGTTACCGCTAAGAACGTGTCAAATGAATGAGATTCAAGAGTAGGACAGGCAGATGTTCGTACTGGCTTTGAGCGCATAGGAAGCCCCATCAAAACGTTAAGTTTACCAAATTAATGAAGAAGTCGTGAGTGCTCATATCTTTGTCGCAGTCGACAAATGCGTGATCACAATGTCACCCCATTTCCCACCCAAACTCCAGTCAAACCCTCATTTCACAAGGCAAGTGAGCAGAGGCCTTTGCTATACTTTATTTTCCATTTTAATGCTTCTCGGCGCAATGATCATGGGAGGGGGTTAATGAGAATGGGATGGAGCGATGAAAATAGGCAGTACTGGCGCCGGTAGCTTCCATCACCATATCGCACCCAAAGATCCACCATTACACATTCATCGCCTATCTTCTTCAACATGCACACGCACCACGCACAAGTGGCTTAAAGAAAGGAGGAAGAAGGGCGATTGATGGTCGGGGGTGAGGGCAATAAGAGAAACCACGTTCAGAGTCGCACAGGCTCCTAGTTGCGTGCTTTTAGTTGGGTGCGTGCATACCAAAATACGGGGAGGGAGAGGAAGCAGTAGTAATGAAGATGATGAACGAAGATGAGGAATAGAAAGATGAGTAAGATCTCGGATTCAAATGATCATGATGAGACGATGTGAGGGAAGAAGAAGATAAGAAGACGCCTAAGACTCATCATTTCACTCTTTGGTCAGCTGTACACAGATATGATACTTTGTTAATAAATCCCAAAAACACTGGTGAGGAGGAGTCAAAGAAGGAGGGAAAGTACGAGTAGACAGGGAAAACCATTGTTGCTCCACTCGTTTGTTTTCTTCAGTGGGGAGTTGGGGTAGGGTGGGACGAGAGGAGGGTGCACAGAGGCCCAAATAATTCCCTGATTTTATTCCGCCTCTCATGGGGAACAGTGGGGAGGGGATTTAAAAGAGTGATTAGATGCCTAGATTTCCGCCACAGACAAATTTGCCATCTGTGTCTCCAGAGTAGGTGCTAAGCCTGCTGTCCCATTGGTTGTCGCCGTCACTGGGTGTTCAGATGACCCCACACTTACCCCTTCTCCTTCTTTCACCCCATGACCATTTTGTGCACTCCTAGTCTGATGCACCCCGTTGACATGAGACTTGGAACCTCGAGGTTTCAGCGGAGAGGAGGTGCCAGCAACAGCGACGCCAGTGGAGGAAGCAGGAGGAGGCACCCCACCTCCATAAAAGTGAGACCGAGGGAGACCAGCTGCCGGATCATTGAACATTCCCTCCGCCGGCACGCCTTGGTAGAAGGCGGGATTAATTATCGGCTGCTGCTGCTGTTGGCGATATATGTAACCTAAACCAGCAGATATGTCAAATATTCACCACTATTTACACATTTCCATTCATAAAACACAAGAACTTACCCATATCTCCTGCAGGAGTTGTAGGGTATGCAGAAGGAGTGGGCGCTGTAATAAACGGCATTTGGTTGGCGGTGACAATGGCGGCCATAAAGTCGTTCATGGCACTAGCCTGATTTGGCACCTGACTGACATTCCCGTTCGGTACAGAAGCGGAGTTTTGGGCCTCGGAAGGGGAGACAGAAGGAGGAGCAGGTTGGTAGTAGTATCCAGGAGTGGCTTGATAATAGAAATGTTGAGACGTGGCTGCAGCAGCCGCTGCAGCAGCTGCCGCAGCAGATTGATAGGAGAGGGGGAAAGTCAAATAGGGATGTGTCGCCGCCAATGGCGGATTTCTCGGTGGTGGAGCGGTAGACACTGAAGCCTGAGAAGGCGGTGGCGGCCGCGCTACTGAAGACTCATACCACGCGTCAGACCTGTTCATTGTAGGTTGATTGAAGAGCTTTTCGGCAGTCTGTTGATCATAACTAGCACGAAAAGGAGACCTGTTCGTCGCGTGGTGCGCAGCTTGTGGCCAGGCAAAGTGGTTTTGTAGTGCCGGCTGTTGACCGAGGTTATTGTAGTAGAAGAGATTCAGCATAGCCTGCTGAATATCAGCCAGGGAAAATTGTGGCGTTGCTTGTGCCATGGCTGCAAAACGCAGTATTAATTCAGTAAAACGGGCAGCAAAA